GGAGGAGGGAGGGAGGAGAAGGGAGTAGGAGGAGGAGAAGAGGGGAGGAGGAAGAGGAGGAGGAGGAGGAGGAGGAGGAGGAGGAGGAGGAGGAGGAGGAGGAGGAGGAGGAGGAGGAGCGAGGAGGAGGAGCGAGGAGGAGGAGGCGGAGGAGGAGGGAATGGGAATGGGAATGCCATCGAGCAAGAGTGTAAGCACGGACCCCTGCTGCGTTGAAGAAGAAAGGGCGCCCGACCGACCACTAGCTTAGCAGTCGGCCTGAGCCCCTGGGGCCCTCACCCACTCTTGGGGTGCAGCCCTCGGCCCACACGGGGCCCCTCCGTCATGCAGGCCTGGCGCATGGGCCTGGCCCAATTCCGCCGCGGCCGACTCTCCCCGCGCCGCCCGCAGCAGCCGCTGAACAATGCGGACCCGCCGCTCCTCGTCGGACTCAGGCAACAGCGCCGGGGCACCTCCCCCACCCCCGTCCGACGTCGCCCCCCCGCCTCCACCTTGCCCACGCGGCCTCGCTCCGTCGGCCGAAAGCGCTGGAGGTGCACCAGGAGCTCCGCTCCTGACTGCTGCCCTCCGCGCTCACGACTGGGAGTGGCCAGCAGCGGTCTCGCCTGCAGCCGCAGGCGTCTGAGGCGCGTCGGGAGTTCCACCCTTGACCGCGGCCCTCCGAGCACGAGATGTGTCTTGCACAGAGCGCTGGGAGCCGTCAGCCAACACTGGGCCTGTCGGTCCCGAAGGAGGCTGAGCGTCAGCCAACGGCCCCCCCTGGGAGGCGCAGGAGCTGGCCGTCGCCCCCCCCCTCCCCCGTCAGGCCGCGGCAGCTCGACGGTTTGACTCCAGAACTAGGACTTTCAGCGGCCAGGTGAGCCGCCCCCAAATTCGCAGCACGCGTGTCACCGAGTCTGCTTACCCGCCACACGGCGGATCTGCTCGCAGCGTCAGGATCCCTTCTCCCCCCCGACGGCTCGACGACGACATCCCCGCCCCTCCCATCACTGCCAGACAAGCCTCCAGCCTTGTCGGGCTCCTCGGCCTCCTCGTCGGGTGCACATCCACTCGCGAGGGCGGCCATGACCTCCTTGGCCTCGAGAGCCTTTTCCCCTCTTGGGGTGCTGCCTTCGAGCCAACACACGGAGAGCACGCTTGCGACTCGTGGGCAACTCCTGCGGATCAGGGCATGGGGACGCGAACGCCCTGCCCACCCTGTCGGACCCGTACGCCCCACACCGCCGACACCACACCACCGCACCCGTGACGGTGACGTCGTGTCCTCCAGGCACGAGTATGCTCTGCCCCTCGAGGCCCGCCTACCCAACCCCCAGACGGTCGCCCCCACCCCCGCGACCAGAGTCCGAGCCCCACGAGGACCCGTCCCAAGAGGACCCCCCCAAGCGCCCCAGACAGGCTCGGCGTTGGCGCGAGCCTCCTGGATCTTAGCTTGCAGGAGCGCCACAGCGGAGGGGACACATCTCTTGTCGGTGCCTCCCGCCAGCTGTCTGCGGGCCTCGGCGGTCTTGGCCGAACGTCGGCACCTCCTGCAGAATAACCTATCCCCAAGCTCAACCAGATCGTGCTCATGCAGCGCGAGAGTCAGCTTAGGTTGGGTCGGGACCTTGGCCCTTGACTGGCCTTCAGTGCCTTCGGCATCGCCCCTTCCGGACCACAGCTCGAGCCTGCAGCTCCGCTGGACCGCCCAGGCGAGGCATCGAGCATGCACCTTGGCACTCGAGAGGCAGTCCTTGTAAAACCTACAGTGCCCATCAGGCAACTTGATTGGCCTGGCTCCAAGCTTGGCGAAACAATCCGCCCACCTGTTCCCGACAACCCAAAGGAAGGGAGGCGGGGACGGAGTACTGGGAGCGGGAAACAGCACATCTTCATCACTCAGGTGCGACGGCACCCAGGCGAATCTGGGAGGCTCACGCTGGAGGCTGCAGAGCTGCCGCCAGACACTCGGGTAAGCAGCGCTCGCAGCCATCAAGCTTGCCACCTCGCCAGCCTTCCACTGCTGCCCTTCATTCACAAACTCGAGCAGATCGCTTATAACCAGCCGTGCTGACGGCATGTGATGGAGGGCCTTGCGACCCGCGACTCTCTCGGCCTTGCCTACCGTCTGCTGGCCGTCTGCAAGCCCTCCGTGCGCCGCTCTCACAAGAACTCCATTGGCGCCCGTCATGACGGCAGCCCATCCGCATCGACGCAGCTCGGGAACATCGCCGTGGTATCCCGAACCGTCCGTGAACACATTCTCGCTCCAACTGTCACTCGGCGACGGCCAGCCACCCCAGATAACAAAAACGGAGGGTCCTCAGGAGGAGGTGGCACCTCAACTCGCGGCCACCGTGGGGTCCCCACGCCAACCGCGAAGGAGTCCGTGTCCTGGCGCCCCTCCCCCACAGGCCCCTGCTCGAGCATCGCATCCCTGGCCGCGGCCAGCTCGGGTTCGAGGCCACACTCCTCTTCATCATCCAGCAACCGCTGAGTCAGCGCTGGGCACTCGACAAATGCATGCCCGAGGGGCTCCATCCCATGCGGGCATGCTCTGCAGCCCTGGTGCTCACAGAGTCCCTTCCTATAGAGCTTGGCCCGTGGCCACAGGGAGTCTGCCCGGAGACTGCGAAGCGCTCCCGTCCTCCCCGCCCCCGTCACCGCCGCCCCCCGCCCCCCCCACACAGGCGCACAGGCCTCTCGGCCACAGCGGCGGCGTCTTGGGGCAGGCACAGCGCCCCGCCTCCCCTCGCGCAATGCACAGACAATGTGTGGCGTCATGATGTGCCGCGATCTGTCTCATCTGCCACCTCTGTATCCCCTGTCTCAGGAGGTCTCGAAAAAACCGCGGCGGGGTTGCCATCAGCGAAATCACTGGTCCCTCATCAGGCTTGACCATCAGCGACGAGCACATCACCCAGCCTATCCGCTTGAACGACAGGATGACAACCTTCAGCGGACCCCTGGCAGCCGCCCACGTGAGCTTGTCGTCGCCGACCTCCACCTTGTCCAGCGTGGCCCTCCAAGCCCGCTCCAGCGCACCCAAGCTGATCTCCTGGTGCCAGATTACCCTGGCGTGCTGCATGATCGGCTCGACCGTGGCCGCGAAGATCGGGTCGTAGCACGGGTTCCGCTGGCTCGCTAGGTAGCGGGTGATGCTGCCTCCTCGCCCTTTTGCCCCCGCCAGTCCCGCCGCCTCCGAGCGCATCGCGCCCAGCTCACTCGGCGACACACCTCCCACTGCCGCTCCATGTGCCGTGGAAGGCAGCAGGCCCGTCTGCCACAGGCAGGTCGCCTTGGCGCCAGCCGCCCTCCTCAAGACCCTCGCCCTTCTCATCCTTGGCCTCAACCGCTTGAGCCTGCTCTTGGCCACCGTCCTTCTCGCCTTCGTGCCATTGAGGTCGTGACCGAGGTTCCTCATGTGCTGCTTGGGGCGGATCTTGACCTTCGAGGCGAACGGCTTCGCCGCCGCCTGGCCCCGCCTCGACGAAGCCACGTGCCCCGACTTGCCCACCTGCAGCTCCAGCCCAACCTCCGCGGCCTCGTACTTGTACCTGAGCACCGCCTCCCAGAGCACCTGCGCGCCACGCAGGTCCTGTTCCACCCGCTGGACCGAGGTGTCGTCCGCCAGCGTCCTGGGGATGACGTCAAACCTGGCGAGCCTCTTGAGCGACCGTGCCGCGGCTACTACCAGCGCCGCCATCGAGATGGAGCAGCCCGCCAGGATGCCCCGGTGCGCCGTGTAGCCCGTCGACAGCGAACCAAACGCCTTGAGCCTCCTCGGCAGGTGGTGGCACTTCAGGATCGCCCACATGAGGCGAAGAATATGCCCCATACTTCTGGCTTCTCCCAGCACTCGTGTGGCGATCAGGCTGTCGAGCGCCTTCCACGCGTCCAGCAGTACCGTCACGCTGTGGCCCCCATTGAGGTTGGCGGCCTCCGCCATCAGGTTGTGGTGAAACGCCGCCGCCGAGGAGGTCCTTCCCCCCCCCCCCGTGCCCCGCAGGTTGGGCACGTCCGCCTGGGCCATCCAGCTCCTCGATATCGTCGACCTCGCCTTGGCCCACAGCCGCAGCACCGAATTCACCAGCGCGATGAGCCTGCACCCTCCACTTTCTTTGGGAAGTCGGACCAGCACCGTGAAGAGCCTGCTGGTCGGCCACTCGCCCAGCTTCTCGCACTGGCTGAGCAGCGCCGACAGCACATACAGGCCAATGTCACTGAGGTGTGATAGCGCCCGCGGCGCAATCCCCGTCTGGCCGACGGCCGTCCTTTCCTTGAATTTCCCCGCTGCTTGCCGTAGATGTCGGATACTCATCCTCGGCAGCCCCGCCCACCCTTCGAAGTCGGGTGGCTTCTCCAGCGCCCTGACCTCGTGGTACGTCCACACCTCCTTCCACTCGTCCAGCTCGCGCTCCACCAGCTGGTGTGGACTGCCTCGGGTCGTGGCCCTCCTCACTTCAGCAGCTGGGGGCAGACGCGTGAAGGCATGCGCTGCACGTGCGCCTCCCTCGAGACTCCTGGCCGCCCAGGTCCTCCACTCCTTGTCGCACTCCTTGCCGTAGTTATTCCTCAGCTTCTCCGCCTCTCTGACCACAGCCTGGACCTTGGCCGCCCACTGGCCCTGGCCCATCTGCTCGAGGCCGCCCTCGAACCACCGCACCACTTCCACGTCGAGCCGCTCCTGCACGTGGCCCGCCTTGGCCACGTTGCCGTAGAAGCCCTGCACCTCGCCGAGCAGGTCCACCACCTTGTCCACGTCCACGTTGGTGCTGTCCGCCAGCAGCCTGATGAGCCTGCCCCGATGCCTGTCCAGGTGCCTGGCCCAGCGGGCAGCCACCATGCACGCGTTCACCTTGGGGTCATGGAGCCGCCGCTTGCGGGGAGGCTGCCACTTGGGTTAGACCATCCTGAACTCTGGTTCGCCGTCACGACCTTGGCGTTGACTCCTCGCCCTGCCGCGCAGAAACCACCGGTCGCACAGGTCCTCCTCGATGGCCTTCATCGCCACGTCCCACGCGTACTCGAGGCTCTTGGTGTCCCCGATGCGGATGACCGCCTGCAGCACCTCCTCCCACATCTTGACCCTGGGAAAGGGAGCCGCCCCTATAGGTGGGACGGCCCCGAAGCCGCGCGGCTCGACCACTACCCTGATGTGGTCGACGCGATCCACCTTGGCCAGGTCCACGTGCACTGGGTAGTGCGGGTATAACGCCGCCTCGGTCGTGACGCGCGCCCCACTCAGCTTCGTGTCCAGGTTGGGCGCCGCAATGACGTAGTCCAGACACGAGCCATCCTCCGCTTGCCAGCATGTCGGTCCAGGAGGCACGATGGGGATGCCTCGCACCTCCTCCAGCCAAGGCCCATGCAGCTCGTCAGTCTCCATGTTCCAATCCCCCATGGCGACCCAATCCAGCTTGCATGCGTTGAGCGCGCGCAGGTAGGTCCGCAACTCGTGGACCGTGTCCGAGTTGTCGTCGTCCATGCCCACCGTGTGCCGCAGGTGCACCACCACGACGATGATTCCACCCTTCACTCCCCAGTGAACATGCCCTGCCAGTAACCTCGCCTCTTCCAGGATGGGGGCAGGCGCGAATGGCGGCGCTGTCGCAGAGACCACCGTCTTCGTTAGTGGCGCCACGCCCCCCGATGCGTCCAGGGGCCCGTCGCCCGTGGACTGCCCTGGTGCCCACATCCCGTGGTAGCCGAGGTCCCGCACCTGGTTCTGCAGCGAGCTCAGCCTGTCCCCCTTCACCCTGTGCTCCTGCACGGCGAAGACGCCCCCCACGGGCTTGTCCGCCGAATACTCTGTCAGACCACGGCCGCATGACACATTCACCGTGGTCAGCACCCCTTTGGCAGTGCCCAAACTGTCACTCATCTCTTCATTCTTGGAAGCCTCCATCATGATGCCTGTAATCGTCAGTACCATCATCAGCTCCCATACCTTAGTAAGCCCTGTAGGCCCACCTGGACGCCGCCGACGCCATCTTCTGCGCCATCGCACGGAGCTCTGCCTCCTCGCTGGGGACGTCCAGTCCTGCTGCCTCGAAGCTGGTCCTGAGCTGGTCGATCAGCACGCTGTCCGCCTCAACCTTGATCCGCTTGGGGTCAGGCTCGCTGCGGCCGCCCGCGCCGCCAGGAACCCCTTCGCGAGCAGTGCGCACCACACCAGCGCGCTTGAACACCTTCTCTTCCAGCTTCGGATGCTGCAGCAGCCGCTCCGCCACGTCCCCAGAGGCCCCCAGCTCCTGCAGCAGCGCGCCAAAGCCCTCCAGGTTGAGCTTCGGCCCTTCTGCCGCAGGGGTGTCCTTCTCGTCGGGTGGCATGGGCATCTGCGCCGTGAGCTCGCACAACTTCTGCTCCAGTTCGACGGCCTCCACGCGCAGCGCCTTCGCCTTGGCCTTCTCCTTCTCGAGGGCCAGCTTTGCTGCCTCGATCGCCTCCTCAGCCTTGGCCACCACCCCATCCTGCTTCTCGATGGCCTCCTGCTTCGCCTTGTGCTTCCGCTGCAGGCCGAGCAGTTGGGTGAACAGAAGCTTCTTGGCGCGCAGCCCGTCCAACTTCGCCTGCTTCTGTGCCTCCAGCCTCTCGATGGTGTCCAGCACGTCTTGCGCTGGCGACTCGAACGCCCGCATCGCACGCAGCTGGACGTCCAAGTTCTCCAGCTCCTTCCGATGCTTCTCATCTTCATCTTCTTCACCTCCTTCACCAGTAGGCTTCGCCCCTTCAGCAGGGCGTCCCACCTTTGCCGCAGCCCGTAGACTCTTGAGCTCCTCCCGCAAGCGAGCCACCTCCTTCTGCATCGCCGTCGAGTTCCCGCCGCCTGCACCGTTCCCGCCAGCAGCCGCTGGGCTGCTCTGCTGACGGTGCCGCGCCAGTCCCTCCTCCCCACGGACGTGGCCGAGGAACGCCTTGCTCTTCTCCCCGCCGCAGAAGAAACAGCTGCGCTTACTCCCAAACGTGATGCACGGCATTCCCACTCTCGCCCCCCTCTCGTACTTGCAGCACTTGCAGTACCAGTCAGGCGTGAGCGCGCCGCCCCCGCTGCCACCCCCACGGCCTCCAGGCGCCATGGTCCCCCGCCTACCCACAGGGGCAGCGAGGCCAGCCACAAAGCGAAGGGGGCCGCGCGGGGCACAAACCCTAGACCAGGGCGGACTGGTCGGGTCAAGAAACCGTCGGGGTCTAGCCGCGGACTAGCGGTATCCACGTGTTCCCCTGTGGAACAAAGCATCTTGAGCCAAAAATGGAAAATGGCTACGGAGGAGGAGGAGGAGGAGGAGGAGGAGGAGGAGGAGGAGGAGGAGGAGCGAGGAGGAGCGATGGGGGAGCGAGGAGGAGGAGCGAGGAGGGAGGTGGAGGAAGGAGGAGCGAGGAGGAGCGAGGAGGGAACGAGACAAGCACGCCCCCCCCCCGCATCGACCTCGGCCCGACTGCACCGCCCTTCGATCGCGCCGACGACGGCGGGCAGGGCCTCGCTCCGCGCCTCGCCCGGCCAGGCCAGGGCGGCCGCCACCGCGGCCCGCGGCGCCACCGCCACGGCGGCCACCGCCAGGGGCTGCTCGCGGAGCCGGCGGGGGGGCGGGGAAAGCCCGCGGGGCAGAGGCGCCCCGCCCAGGAGGGGTGCCCTCCTCCTCCTCCTCCTCCTTCTCCTCCTCCTCCTCCTCCTCCTCTCCTCCTCCTTTTTTGCGCTAGACTTATAACCTCAGCATGATGCTGTGGCGTTATTCCTCCTCCTGCTCCTCCTGCTCCTCCTCGCTCCTCCTCCCTCCTCCTCCTCGCTCCTCCTCGCTCCGCCTCGCTCCTGCTCCTCCTCCTCCTCGCTCCTCCTCGCTTCTCCTCGCGCGACGACGACCAGCGACGACGACGAAGACGAACGACGAGGACGACGACGAGCGACGACAAGGAGCGACGGCGACGAGCGACGACAAGGAGCGACGGCGACGAGCGACGAGAGACGGCGACGACGACGGCCCGACGACGACGACGACGAGCCCGTGCCGCCCGTCGTGCGCGGGGACAGAGAGAGAGAGAGAGAGAGCAGAACCAACACCCTCATCGTAACAAGCACCCCGACAAGCAGAGCCGTTTGTAGCCAACGAAGCCAAGGGAGGAATCGAGCAGGGCAGGGCTGGGTAGAAAACGCCCAGGGCTGTTTCGCAAATGCCAGTTCTGAGGGCTCGGGGCGGTTTTTCCTCCCTTGAGAGGAGGGGGGGATGAGGCAACCCATCCACCTGCCTCGCCACTCCAAAGGGCAGCTGTTGAGCGCTGCGTCTGTTTTGTTTTTTGTTTGCGACCTCCGCCTGCAATAAGTTCGGCATCCCAGAGGTGGGCGACGACGCCAACGACAAGGATGATGAGGCAACACGTGATACTGGCATACATACATATATATATATGTGTGTGTATATATATATATATATCCCTCTCTTGTTTCGGGGGTCGCTCATGTTTCTGCACCTTCCACCTCCCCTTCGCATTCCCCTTCCGGTCCCCGCCCTCATCCTCCTTCTCCTTCTTTTCAACTCCTCACCCACTCTCCCTCCCTCCAAGGGAGGGGGCAGAGGTGGAATGGAGCCCATCGCTCAGCTGCATTTCCCAGCCCCAGCTGGGGTAGCAGCGTCATGGCCGTCCCGAGCGCCATGACGGTGATCCACGCGAGGATCTGGTACCGCGCTGGGCTGCGGCCGCTGCTGACCACAAAGGCGGTGCTGACCTGAGTCACCAGGATCCAGGGCAGCTGCTGGGACAGCTGCAGCGCGGCTGCCATGCCCCAGGAATACGGCACTACCAGGTCCACCACGCCGAGAGCGAGGAGGAGGTGGCAGAGTTGCACGGCCGCTGAGGCGGCAGCGGCGGCCGACGACGCCCACAGCGGCAGCGGCCGCGGATGAATGTTCGCCCATGCCAGGTCGGCCACAATGGAGAGGCACATGGCGGCAAGGCCCGTCCGCCTCATGATGTCCTCCTCCGGCTTGTGGCCTGTCAGTATCATGGCGGGTAAGGTGAAGAACTGCACCGACAAATTGCTCACATAGGTGCCGTAGATCACCACCGGTCCTGAGAATCCCCCTCGTCGTCACTCTCCTGCCCCTCCCCCTTTTTCCCCTCCTTTTCCTGCTCCTCCTGTAGTGACGAAGTGCACGACGGGTCCTGCGAAATCCAGTCGCGGCATGCAGCGTCCCTGGATGGCACTGCAGCGGCTGCCAACTACCATGCACGTCAGGTCTTGGAAAGAAAAGCTGCGAGAGCCCAGCCAGTGACATGATGAATAGGGACAAGGACGACCACGAGCAGGAAGAGGACGCCAGAAGAGCATGTGAAGGAGGTGGGCAAGAAGGGACGCTGCTGATGTGGAGGAGGTGCAACCAACTGGTCTCCACATGCAACCGAGGCAAGCAGCACATTGGATATGCCGCGACTCGTTCTGGTGCAAATCCATGAGAGTAGCCGCGTCCAGGGCTGACTTGTGGATGCGTCAACAGTGCACATGAAATTAAACTTAATTATGTGTGTCAGGGACTTCGGACATAGGGGAGGAGCGCATGATAGTTTATTCAAGCACAGGCGTACGAACACATCCTACAACATATCCGCCGATCCGGCGTGTGAGTTTAAGAAAGCTACAACCTGAGCTTCAGCTCTGCTGGGGGGGGGCTGGGGTGGCTCTGCCGGGGTAGGAGGGAGGGGGGGGGGGAGTTCATGGGGTCCACCCTTTCTCCCCCCCCCCGGGAATCCCAAACCGCCCCAAGACGGGCCAAAAGGGGCCCAGGAGGCCACCAAGTCGGTCCAGGAGGCGCCCGAAACGGCCCAAGAGCGCTCCTGGACGCCCAAGATGGCCTGAAGACGGCCCAAGAGGCCTCCAAGACGCCTCAAGGAGATCCCAAGAGGACCCCCAAGAGGGCCCCAAGAGGGTACAATAATAAAGTTGCTAATAGGTTTTGAAGCATTTTAACGTTATCGCCTTTTCCGTCTTAGAAGCGCCGAAGACGGTCCAAGAGGCCCCCAAGATCGCCCCAAGACAGCCCAAGAGGCCCCCAAGAGGAGCCAAGACGGTCCAAGAGGGCCCCAATATAGCCCTGGAGGCCCCCCAAGACGACCCCGAGAGGCCCCCAAGATGGCCTCAAGAGGGTGAATCCGAACGGACCCTTCTAGTCCTCCACCCCAAGATGACCCCAAGAGCCCCCAAGATGCCCCCGAGGCGCCCCCAAGGGGCCCCCAGAGGCCCCCAAGAGGTCCCCAAGAGGCCCCCAAGAGGACCCCGAGAGGCCCCCAAGAGGCCCCAAAGGCCCCCAAGAAGCCCCAAGAACCAAGAGGCCCCAAGAGGCGCTCACTCGCGTGCTGCCAGGCCAGAGGTGCACGGCCTGACTTGGTATTGCTCGGAAGCGAAAGCGATGAACGAAGAACCTTCCACCCGTCGCCGTCACCAGTCGTCGGTCGTCGGTCGTCGGCAGCCGTTCGCCGTCAGTCGTCGTCGTCGTCGTCGTCGTCGTCGTCGTCGTCGTCGTCGTCGTCGTCGTCGTCGTCGTCGGTTCATCGTCATGAACTACATCGTCGGTCTTAGTCGTAATTATCCCGCTCGTCGACCGTTGGTCGTCCGTTGTCGTCGTCATCGTCCATTTCAACAACAATAGCATCAGGAGCGCCCCGGATCGGCGGCACTGGCCAGGGGCCACTACAATAAAACTCTCTACTGACAACCATCGTTAGGGCGGCTGGTAGCCCTCTGGCGCAACCTACGGATCACATCCGTTCGGATCGTATCTGTCCAACGGCTTACCCTCGCTGAAACTAGCGGACATCGCTCAACAGTGCAACCACCACCGCGCCAGACAGCGTGGATTGAATGTCGCATTTTCACTCTGGATCGTTGCTCGGAGCCCTGCCCTACGATCACCCACGTGCAATCGTATGTGGCGCCCTGGTGGGAACAACTTCTGACAACGTGCCGGCCCACATCATCGACATTATCAGGGGCATCCTGCCTTCAGAGGCACGGTCACACGTACATTCACGATGTGATCGTGACACATTGAACGGATGTCCACGGTGGCTTAACAACCACGCATGTATGAACGAATGGTTGGAGGCGATGGAGCAGGGGTGGAGAAGGCAATAAGGACATATGGATGGGGGGGCATGAAAACATCAAGGAACGCACGTTTGGCGTGTCGGCCCGGCTTCGACTGTCCTGATTTTTTCTGGAGAAGCCTTCGTCATGTCGACAGAGCCAATGTCTTCGTCTTGTCGTCAAACATGGTTTCCCAAACTCCAAGACCACCGATGACGCGACGAACGCAGAGGAGGAGAAGGAGGAGGAGGAGGAGGAGGAGAAGGAGGAGGAGGAGGCGCGAGAAGGAGGAGGAGCGAGGAGGAGCGAGGAGGAGGAGGAGGAGGAGCGAGGAGGAGCGAGGAGGAGGAGAAGGAGGACCAATGAAAACCCAAGAGTCATCAACGATGTTGGAATTAACCCTCCCTCCAAGCTCCCTCTTCATAGGCCCCTGCAGCGGTTCATTTCCATTGAGGGAACTGCCTCGTTGGAAGACAACGGTTTGAAGATCCTGAAATGTACCAAACATTATTCTCGGGATTTCAGCGCCACGTGTTAACCTGACTGCTGCGTCTTGACAATCCAGAATCTTGCCAGAAACACCATTTTTGGGATTTCAACACAGCGAATCAACATAACTGCTGCGCCCGCATAATCCTGAATCCTTATAACACACAGGTTCTGGTACATGGATCATGGGACTCTGTGAAACTATTGCAAATGTCTGAAACGAATGTGCGCGGCGCTGAAGCGACAACCACATTTTGAAAAGGAACAACCCTCAATGTGCGAAGATGTTGCAAATACGGATGTGCGCGGCGCTGAGGCGAGAGCCACATTCTGAAAAGGAGCCGACAAGAAACCGTCCTCAATCCGTGCAGCAGATGTTTAAAAGGAGTGTGCGCGGTGCTACGGCGAGAACCACATTTTGAACACCACCCGCCCTCAATCCGTGAAACGAGTGCAAATTTCTAGAACGAATGTGCGCGGCGGTA